CCATGCCAGTAACATTGGAAATCATTTGGATCTTCCAGGTTAAATAATCAGAACAAAACCTTCTTCCACTTTTCTATGTCCCATGTTTGGCACTTCTTGGCAAAGTTTAACTGAGCTGTTTTGTGGTGGGGAAGGAGGCATTGACTTTGAAGATATGTTTTTAAAGCCTTTCTCTTGGAGATGCTGTCTTATTGTTCTTCAGCTGCATTCTGTTTCCTAAGAGCTGATCTGGTTCAGTGATTGTCTGGGGTCTTGCCAGACAGCCCTCATGCTCAATGCCGACAAAATTTCCTTGGGTCTACCACTTGAAATTCTTGTTCTGTATTCCTCAGGGTCTTTTAAGAAATTTGCAACAGCAGTTTTACTACATTATTTACATTATTCGGACTATTGTCCTCATCTTTGTTGCCATATTTTACAATGTTTCAGCCGTTGTACGCTCATTGCCCTTCTTCAGGTGGTTGAATTTTTGAACCCATTTTAAAAGTTCTATGTGCCATGTTTGAAGCTAAATTTTTGAAAGTTCTCCACTGCCTTTCATTGAACTCACACTTTTGGGTTCTGTCACTGGATCTAACCAATGCTTTTATTCAATGTGCCCTTGAGGGTTCAGTTAGAAATTCCAACCACCTGAAGAAAGTCAAGTGTACAACCAAACGCGTTGTGATAAATATGGAAAATGAGACTTAGTAACAAAATACTTGAACATCTCAGAAAAATGACCAATCTTTCAATAGCACATTGAGAGAGACACAGATATTGTTTTTAGAGTTCAACAATTGTTACATTAAAACTCTGCCAAAGCCTTCATCTATAAGTGGAAAATGTTCTTGAAACCTAATTTTGAACCAAATGACTAAATTTCATTGTGTTCTTACCGATTAAAGCTTCATCTAAAAATAGTCTGAAACTTTTGACCAGCTAGTATTTAGCCTAATTTCCCAGTATTCAAATTTTCTCTATTAAATGCTCAAAAATTTTTAATATTTATTTTTCCTTTTCTTATTTTTAATTTCTTTAAGCTCTACTCAAATAAGTAAAGTCTAACAATACATAAGGTATTTTTCTTTCTTTATTTTCATTGGTCTTAAGATTTTGGGCAGCAGTGTGTGCGCGCGTGCATATATATATATATATATATATATATATATAATATATATCTCAAATAAAAGTTTGCTCAGACATTCATGAGTTTGCCATGTCAACCATCAAGGTCGGAAGGTCATCAGGGATGCATTCTGTCATAACATTGCTGGTTAATGTAGGTGGTTGCTGGGTGACCAACTTGTCTTATTCCATGGCTAGATGTCCAGAACAGTAGATCACTTGTAAATTCTTGTCTTGCTTGCCAGCAGTGTCATACATAATTTATTCTGCCTTTACATAAGATTGTAGAAATATCAGGGATGGGTCCATAGAACTGTGAATTAGTTCGATATTGTCTCCAGGAGATGCTAAGTATAGCTCAGCAACCGAGTGTAGGTTCCATCAAGCTTAAACTCTAGGGTTATAGTTAATGTCCAGGCAGTGGCACCATATATTGACATTGCCTCTACAGTGACTTGAATCTCTGCTTAAGGTTGTCCGATGGATCAGCTTTCCAGATTACAATGATTTTTATTCAAGGTGGCCCAGGCTTTTTTTCACATCCTGTTCAGTAGAATTTATTTTGCTTATGTGTATAAGATTTGACAGATTTTATTGATTTACATGAGACAGTTTGTATTGAGCTTTGCTGGTTGAAGCCTATGAATTCAGTTTTAGAGGCATTGACATAGTCCCACATCATTGGCAGTATTTTCTTTTTTTCTTTTCTTTTGAAATGCTCAATATGAGAAATAGAGCCAATACAAAGTAAGATATAGACCACTGAAACCACTGCTTGTAAGCCAATGTGTGGCTCATGGAAATATGTTGGCTGAGCTCTTTTTTTTTTTTTTTTTTTTATTTTGTTGCAGTTAATATAAAAGGTATATATAAAAAAATTTTTTTTTTTTTTTTAAAGCTTTATAATTATTTACTGGGTATGGATTTGGGACCCCAATGGATTAAAATGTAAGTTTAATGTTCATGTTTAGTAAAAAAATATTTAAGAATTTAAATCTTAATTTTAATGCTAGATCTGAGTGAGACATTGTTCTTTAGTTCTGCGGGAAGAATGGTGGGAGGCAGAGGGATTGAAGAAATTTCTGTCCAGAAAGGGTTACAGAGGAATGTCAGAAGACAGGGGTCATAGGTAAGGGGATTAAGGGGACCAAACTCATGTCATGTACATTAATGCAGTGTAACACAAGACGTTGAATTGTGTTTACTTAGTTGGTACACTTTGCATACAAGTTTTGTTTAAAAGTGTCAAGATTTTGAAAATATTTGGTGTGTAATATATATATATATATATATATATATATATATATATATATATATATATATATATATTGTGTGTACTTTATGATTACTGAAACCAATACAAATTAATAGTTTAAAAAACTGCATACATGAATATTATTGCATACATGCATTTTTTAAAATTTACACAAAACATTTGTAACAAAATGTGTATGCAACATAAATGTATGTGTAAATTTTGTTCATGTCTTGCGGCTCTCAAACATCTGAACTTTATTGTATGTGGTTCTTACATTAAGCAATTTGGCTACCCCTGATATAGACTGATATGTAAAATCCTTTAAAAAAAACAACCTTTTTACAAGCTTTTTGGCATTTTGTTAATTTTACAATATAAATGTATCTTCTGATCTATCCTGAAACCGACAGTAATGCCAAAAGTCTTGTAAAGACCAGGGTTTTAAAAGTGATTTTAAACATTGGTTGATGTATAACTTGTATTATTTTTTACTAACCTAAGATTTACTTGATGAGCTTGGTAGAGCAAGTATTAGGAGAGATAGCAAAAAGACAAACCTTACTCAGAGCTACAAAAGACAGTCATTGAGAGACATGATCACCCACATCCTGAAGGGACATGGCACACAGAATCTAAGATTAGTGCAATCTGAAGCCATAGTAGTAGAACACCTAGTTGAAATTTGATTTGCTGCATTTGTTAATAGTAAGCTTATAGACAAGTGCTCTCTAAGATATTCTTAACCTGCATTTGTGAGACACTGAGTGTGGATTGAAATCATTACACTCAGAACTTGATATGTGAGATAAACTTGTTTCTGGTGACTGGAAAAATAATGGTAGTCATAAGCCATACTTTTTCAAGATAGAAAAAAAAAAATCAAAATTTTGGTTTATGGAAAGGAAAATTATTTTAACTTAAAATTAAGAAATATATGTTGAAATCAAACAAATACAAAATTTAAGTATCTGGAAAGAGTTCTATCAGAGGACAGAAAATGTGATGCTGAAATTTAAAGGTATTTTGGAATAATGAAAGATACCTTCTGAAAGCTCAGCAGAGTATTAAGAAACAAGAAAACTTTGTTACAAAAGTAAAGTGTAAACATTTATGTAATATCAGTTCTCCTCTATGATAGTGCATGCTAGACAATCACCTCACAGATAAAGAAGAGACTTGTGGTAACAGAAATGTGGTTCTACAAAAGAATGCTAAGAATCCCATGGAGTGAACATGTGAATAATGAAGTTTTAAGGAAAATGGAAACAAAATGACACATATTCAGTTGAAATCTTTAGAACATATAATATGTAAAGAGGGCAGAGGGCTTTGACATTCACAGGACATATTGAAGGTAAGAAAGACAGAAAAGCATCAAGTAACCTATTTAATGAGTTTGTATAAATGGATGGCAGATGAAGGACTGGGAGAGAACAAAAGACAAACATTACTAAAAGCTACAAAAGATAGGAAGTTGTAAAGAGCCATGATTTGCTCACATCCTGAAGGGACATGGCACATAGAATATTTTTCATGAGTAATATTTTAATTTATCTTCTGCCTTGATTTTAATTTATAATGATGAAATGAGTAATATTTTAATATTTTTAATTTATTGTAGTTCTTCAAATAAACTAGTTTATTTCAATATTTCATTACTGTAAATGAAATATATTTATTAAGATATAACAAATAAAAATATTACCTAATTTTAAATGAAAAATTACTTAAACTTTCTCTTCACTAGCCCAGTAATTCTTAATGGCCATACCATGGCATACAAGTATGTCACGCATGGATGTAGTAATAATACAGTGTTGCTATTTGAATAAGTATTAAACTTTTTTCAAATAATTCTTTTCATTATTCTTTGATTATGTTATTTTAAATACTTTGTCTTGATATTCATTTTTTTTTTAAAAGTATTTTCATAATTTAACTTTTTAAAACTTTCCTTTTTATTTGAACAAATGAATATTAACCTTTTTTCCTATAATTGTATTAAACATTTTGAAATAATTCAAAATTTTATAAAGTTATATTGAATTATGAATTGTCAAAGTTTCTCTTATGCAGCATTGAGCATTTGATTTGACAATTTTCCAATTATTTAAAAGTCTATTACTCTAAAAGTGTGCCATTGCTTAAAAAATTTGAGAAACACTAGCCAGTTATAATTATCATAACACTTTCCTACCCTATCAAGGCATACATTATAACTTTCCCTAAAATTGTTCCTAAGTATTAGGTTGGTGCAAAAAGAATGACGTAATAATGTCGTTTTTTGACGTATTTTTTAACGTCAAAAACGACATTATTACGTCATTCTTTTTGCACCAACCTAATAATTACAAGGATGCCTGTTACAATGTTGATCAATAAGCTTATATATCAAACTAAGCTTAGTAAATGAGCATGTATCTAGCAACATTCATGATGATTCGTCTGTTATTTGTAATTTTGTGTTTCTCTTTTAGGTCTTGTGTAAAATCGCTAAAGCATTTCTGATTACTAGTGAGTGAGGTATACTGATTAATAACTGCTGGCTGTTTGTCTCTCAGAACTCCAGTGTCAGTGACAAAATAAAGCAGTTGTCTCTGCCCAGGCAAGTCCTTGTTGTACTAAGTGGGTCTTGATGTACAACTGTTATTCAACAACCCATTCATCACCACTCCCAGTCCACATGAATTTGACTACCTCTTTTGGTAGTGAATTCCTTATCATAGGCACTATATACTGTGACCTTCTTTCCTCATCTTCCTTCCTTCCTTTATCTTCTGTCATTTCCTTCCTTCCTTTTTTTATCTTCTGTCATTTCCTTCCTTCCTTTTTTTATCTTCTGTCATTTCCTTCCTTCCTTTTTTTATCTTTTGTCATTTCCTTCCTTCCTTTTTTTATCTTTTGTCATTTCCTTCCTTCCTTTTTTATCTTTTGTCATTTCCTTCCTTCCTTTTTTTTTTATCTTTTTGTCATTTCCTTCCTTCCTTTTTTTTTTATCTTTTGTCATTTCCTTCCTTCCTTTTTTTTATCTTTTGTCATTTCCTTCCTTCCTTTTTTTATCTTTTGTCATTTCCTTCCTTCCTTTTTTTATCTTTTGTCATTTCCTTCCTTCCTTTTTTATCTTTTGTCATTTCCTTCCTTCCTTTTTTATCTTTTTTCATTTTTCCTTCCTTTTTATCTTTTTTCCTTTCCTTCCTTTTTTATCTTTTGTCATTTCCTTCCTTCCTTTTTTATCTTTTGTCATTTCCTTCCTTCCTTTTTTATCTTTTGTCATTTCCTTCCTTCCTTTTTTATCTTTTGTCATTTCCTTCCTTCCTTTTTTATCTTTTGTCATTTCCTTCCTTCCTTTTTTATCTTTTGTCATTTTCCTTCCTTTTTATCTTTGTCATTTCCTTCCTTCCTTTTTTTTATCTTTTGTCATTTCCTTCCTTCCTTTTTTTATCTTTTGTCATTTCCTTCCTTCCTTTTTTTATCTTTTGTCATTTCCTTCCTTCCTTTTTATCTTTTGTCATTTCCTTCCTTATTTTTTATCTTTTGTCATTTCCTTCTTCCTTTTTTTATCTTTTTTTCCTTTTCCTTTTTTTTATCTTTTGTCATTTCCTTCTTCCTTTTTATCTTTTGTCATTTCCTTCCTTCCTTTTTTTATCTTTTGTCATTTCCTTCCTTCCTTTTTTATCTTTTGTCATTTCCTTCCTTCCTTTTTTATCTTTGTCATTTTTCCTTCCTTTTTTTCATTTCTTCTTTTTTATTTTGTCATTTTTCTTTTTTCTTCCAACCACAACATACAAACCCTTCATTTTTTTTCTCATTTTATTATTTGGGCTTTATTATTTAAGACAGATTGTTTGTAGTAGTGTGTTTTTATATATATATATATATATATATATATCCATTATGCTATCTTCATATCTTTTGATATTCTTTTCTTACACTTAAGTAAATAAGTCCAGTATCATTTTTGATTAATAAATTTTCTCAAGCAGTGATGAATAAACAAAATTCCTCTCTCTCTCCTTGTTTCTTCTTACCTAACTCCCTTTCCCTGCTGAGTTTTTATATGAAAATTCAATGGATACATGACATGTTTGCACACCGATCCATCTTTCCAGAAGAAAGTTTCCTTCCTTTTAGTTTTTTTTTTTTTTTTTGTTCACTAGGATATTACTTGCAAAGGCTTGCAAAGAAATAAGGTATAAATCAGTCGGTTAAAAAAACAAAAAACCTTCCACTTGTTATTTATTTATTAAAGTTTTACAGTCATTAATTGAGGTTACCTGTACTTAAGATTTAAACATTCTCGATTAGGTCCTGTCAATGTTGACAAAAGATCTAACAACTTTATTTTATGCAACTACCTGGGCAGGTATTTATGGGCGAGTGGTTTGTTCAAGTACTTACTCATCTACTCTCTTTTCTGACAACTATTATGGCATGCTAACAAACCAGGGCTTTTTTATTTATTGATATCTGGCAGTGGGACAAAGTGAAAACTAGAAAATTCATGCTTTTCTACTTCCTTTGCCAAGTGTATTAATGATGTGAATGCAAGCAGCCAAAAATTAATCAAACTTGCCAGTTTCATTTATTTATTTGTTTTTAATCAATTCACACCACAATGCTGCTAAGTACGTAAGGGGTTACTGGAAGTGAAAGATAAGGAAAAAAAAAAAAAACTTCAGAAATCCAATCCTAAACAGGGAACAAGGGAGGGATAAACCTCTACTCCTGTTCAAAAATACTACTCCAAGCTTAAACTCAAAGTATTTTTACTGATTTGGTAAATTAGTTATTGAGGTTAAGCAAGGAGTTAAACTGCAAAACTTGTTTTCGAGTAATTGTATGTTTATAGAAGTAATATATACAATTGTTTTTTTTCTTTCTTAACACTGAAATGTTTTACCAACTTCTAAACATTTATTTATGATTAAAATAATGCTTGAAAAAAAAAATCTGGTGAATAAAAAAGGTGGGGGGAATGGTTTAAGTGTGGTAGGGCATGTACAAGGATCAGATTGCCAAGCCCAATTAAAATATACTTATCTTATTTTTGAAACCATTAACTTTTAACCTTTTTGATATATCTGATTTAAATAAGCACAGATTTTTGTCAACCAATAGTTTTTTTCTGCTTCTAAACTTTATGCTGTATGCATGGATGTATGGGTAAATGTGCTCAATATCAGTGATGGGTAAATATAAAAGTGGACACTGGGGTCAACTGAGCAGTGACAGTTTTTAATGCTTGAATACAAACTTCAGGCCTGAAGATTGTGTCTGTAGAACCATACTGTAATGCAATTCTATGCCTCTATAAAAATGCATAAAGCAAGTCTCTTAGAATTTTCTTATGAACTTATTTTTAGAATTAGATGCCACACCCATGGGAATCTGCCTTTATTTCCCTTCTCAGCTTGTCATGGCAAGAGAAATACTTACAGTTGCTACACCTTAGCCAAAGTTGTACAAAGCATGGGTTATTCATGTATTATTTTTTTTAATTTTAAGATCCTCACCATTTTTTTTATGGCTTAATCTGTATTCAATGTTTTTTAAAATGTAAAATAATCCACTTATTTATATACTTGTTTATTTTTATAATCTATTGTTCCAGTTACATTTGAATCCCCCTCTTTTGAATCCCAGCTATCAGAAAATCAGTACCCTCCCCCCCAAAATTCTCACAATCAAAAAATATTTTGGCTCTTAATAACCTTAAAAAGGATAAACTGTGTGTATGTATGTATATATATATATATATATATATATCTCAATCTATTCCTAAATTGAATTTTTTTTTTCTTACAATGAAGCCCTATGTAATTTCCAAAGGGTTACTTCCTGGTTTATTACAGATCAGTGTAGTATCTGGGCACTCTACTTAACTTAGTATCTGTAAGTTAATATACTGAGCTATTCAATGGATGTCACTTGTTTGCTTATCTCCAGGTCAGACATTCAGATCGGACCTGGATTCGCATTTTTATAATTCATGTGGTAAATTCATAGGCAAATAAAAAAACAGAAAAAAGTTACTGTTTATGATATAGATCAGCAGTTGGCAACCTTTTGGAGATAGCAGTTATGCAGCATCTTGAAGCGGTGGGGGCCATTATATCAAATGTACTATAATAAATTGTTTCAACCTCAGACTGCACTGTCAAGAAGGCTGCCTTGGTCTGGATGTTTAAAGAAAAACCAATGAAGTTAATGTTATATTATTTAAACAATGTTCCTTATTTTACAACAGGAATAACTGGACAACAGCTAACACAATCAACAGAAAATGCAAATCCCTTATTATGGTTAAGTTGGCGGGCTGTACAAAAATAATTCTAGGGCCATATGTGGCCAGGGGACCGGGGGTTCCCAACCCCCAATATAGATAGTTGGTTCCAAAACCCAAGAATAGTGATGTTGACAATTCAGATATGCTAACAAGAAGGCATAAAGTGCTTCCTTTATTGGGGAGGTGGGGTATGGACTTAAAATATTTGAATGAATAATGAGAAATATAAAAATTATATATTGGTAAAAATTATGGAAAGAATGAACTTTTTAACCATGAGTTAACTTATTGCAGTATCTTGTTACAATTGTTCTATTTTGTTAATTATTTTGACGATGCAGATAGCATAATGGATAACTGCTTGGAATGAGTTGTCAGAGGTGAGTTTGTGTTCCAGTTTCATTACCTTCACTTTTGTGCAAATGCACTTGGAAAAGTTATAAATCTAATTCCTCCCAGCTATGGGTTAAATAGTAAGACAGTTGGTTCTTCAGCCTTGGGTGGCAACTAGTTTAGAAAAAAGAAAATCTCTGAATTCAAAAATGGATGTAGCCCTGGCAAAGCACATACTGTGTGGCAAATGAAATGATCATGGAACTTGCATTGACTCTTGTATCCTGACTGTAGTTGATTTTGTTAACCTGTTCTTGCCTAATTTATAAAGTAATTTTATTATAGATAAGTATGTTTAGAGGAGAGAATAACAAAAAATAAAACTGTGTGTGTATGCACACACACATATATACACCCACCTCTGCCTGCAACATATTTGTGAAAAATACGAACATAATAGACTGATCCACATGTTAAAAAAAAAAAAAAAAGCCAACTCTTGAGAATATCAATTAGGAACATGGCCACAACGTTCGGAAATTAAAAACATTCTTATCCTATATGTTCAAACAGTTGATTATGCCAGATTATGCACTCTCTCCCAGAAACTATAACTAAGGCCTGTTCAACCTAGTTGCAGCATAAACCATCGGTGAGCTCTGTGGGTATTGAACAGATAAGATATGCCTGAGTAGGTGTCTGTAACAGGGATTGACTAGCTGCCCTATCAGATGGGTGTGCTCAGAAAACTAGAATAACTGGCTATTATATAGGGTTCAGTACCGTTTACAGTTTCAGGCATCTGTAATGGGTCTTTGAACATATTCCCCACAGATAAGGATGGATTACTGTATAAGTGGGTGTAGTTTATTTTCAATAAAAGCAATCCACTCTGTACAAACTGATGTTGAAACCAAATCCACAAAACTTGTCAGGCTGAGTTATAGGTTCTGTCTCTTTTCTATTTTCCACAAGAATTTAAATCCTTCATCTCATTGCAAACTGTTTGTTAATTTGAACTCTGTTCTTAAGATGATCTAGAAACTCATAATGAGTAGAAACTCACAATGAATCTTCAAGCAAAAGAAATACTTTGTAAAAAAATAAAAATTGGTTTTAAATTGTGAGGGGTCATAAATTTATTTTTAAGCTGTAGATTTTTTTTTCTTTTTAACTCACTGCTCGTGCTACAACTTAAAAATCCAACTTCAAAGACTATTTTCATATTACTCCCACCCCTATCATTTTTTCAATTTTGAAAATAATGAAAGTGAGACCAGGTTACATATCATTACTCGATGGGCAAGTCTGAACAGAGAAAAAACAGCATAGCATGATGAAAAAAGGCCCAAAACTTACTAAAAGAAATTTTATTGTCAAAATGTTTGTAATTGTTAAGAGGAATTACCAAAGTATTTTTTTTAATTATTTAAAAAATTTTTTAAACCTTTCTAGTTTTTTTTTTATGCTTGCGATTGTAAGTAATTTTCACAATGAAGTATTTTTTTTCCAGTGAAAACATATTTATTTGAAAATTCTTGCAAAAATTGTTTGATTTTAATTAAACTTTCAGAACTTACTTATTCAGAAATGTGTTAAATTAGTTTTGAAAATTTTTGTTTTAGAAAATGTTGGTTTAAAAAAAAAAAAAAATTTAATTTTACATATGTTACATCCCACTTATTAATTTCATGAAATTTTGAGAAATTAAATCATATGTCCAAACCTTTTTTTATTAGTTAAAAGTAGGACTCCTTGGAGAATGTAAATCACCCAATTTTTTTTTTTTTCTTCAAACTTTTGCTAATTTTCAGAAAATCTGCTCCGAATGGTAAACTAAAAAAAATGTAATAAAACTATGACATTATTTAATTAGAAAACCTTTTAATTGTTTTGGTAAATGAGTTATATTTAGCACATTATTGTCTTAAGGAAAAAAAAATTTTGATGAATAATGAATTTTTACAAGAATTTTTTCATTTTTTTTAAAAAACTTTTAATTATAATATCATAATTAAAAAATCTCCCACACTATATTTCTTTTAGGTGATGTTGTAATTAAGTAGAAATTATATTTATGAATCAAAAATTGAAAGCTAAGGTGTTTTGCATTAATATTTTTAAAATAATCAAATTTTTTTTTTTTAAGCATTCCCATTTTCCATGTTAAATTGTTAAAATTACTAGGTAGTCCCCCCCCCAAATGCGTTCACTTA